TATAAATATACACGTACCGTGAGTAGCAGTACGAATATCCACTACTACTAATGTCCCATGAAGTCGTAAGAGACGGCCGAGGTAACGAAACCAGGTTTTGGGCAGCAACATCTTAATAACTTGTCAAGCATGGCAAAGTGGCAACTATGGCAAATATCTCGCTTATATACATATACTATATATAAACCATTTTTTAAGAAAAAATTGTTTGATTTGTTGATAACCTAACTTATTAATTAGTTAGGTTATCAACAAACCAAACAATTTTCTCTTAAAAAGTAATGAGTATTGCAAACAGTTCAATGTATCGTCAAAGTAACCGATGTGGTTATAAATAAAGCACTTGAGATGTCGTGGCATTGCCCAAAATATCACAGAGTTCTTGGAATGTACTTTGAAATTCCCGAAATGAAGCAATAGGTAGGTTAATAGGAAGGAAAATTGTATATGATAGAGCAACGCTACAGCTGTATTACTGCTGTTGTACAAATTGGTCGGCTTGACCGGGAAGCCTTACGCTCGCACAGAATATCAGCGTGATACTGAAGAATAATGCTGCCGCGTTTCGTATGGCAAGTGTTGAGAACTGGAGGCCCTTTTTACTGTAAAAAGGGCCTCCAGAGGCATTCTATCTAAGTAATCAGGAGTGACAACACATCTTGATTTTGATTATTAGTAGATGATAAATTTTTGTATCTATGGGCTTCAGCATTCAATCACCATCAGATGGACCATGCGTTCGTTATCACCCTTTTTTCTATAAAAAAGGCAGAGTAAAATTTGTTATCTAATATATAAAAATAATGTTCGTATGTTCATATTTAATGCGCTGCCATACCGATCATCAGATTACGCTAAAACTTTGTCAACTTATAGCTTGTACTTGCGCGAATGTTATAGGCATAGTTGGACCCAATAGGTGGCGTTGTTGTAGAACGTTGGTGGCAGTAAAGTCATATAATATATCATCTGAATGTATTATGATTCCTATTACACAATACAACTCTTCCAAATTTGAAGCAATATTTCCGCAATTATTTCTTGTGCGTCTGCATGCGCGGGGTAACAGCTAGATAAAAATAAATATTTTTTTTATACGATATATAAGTATCGCTCCATTCGACTATTGTCGTAAACAACTATTAACCTTGGTGTGGATAGGATACGGGTGTATAGATAATGTAACAAAGTAAAAATAACCTTAGTTGAATTATTTTTAAAACAGAAATAAAATAAAATATTAACGAATCATTGCACTTGGTTTTCCATTACGATGTTTTGCTTTTAAGCACTGTAGATATTTCACATGAATTATGTAATGCCAAATGTATGAAAATATTAAAACATTTATTATGGTTCTATATATACACAACATGTAACAAAAACCATGTGGTTCCCGTTAACTGCGTTATCAGAATCAGTATCCAAGCATATAGAGATATTTTTTTTAAAAAAAACAACATTTAAAAAAATTAATTTTAATGAAAAAAAATTAATTTGCAAATTGTATGTGGTTTTATTATCTCGGCATTGGCCGCGGAGTAAGAGGATTGTCAGACCCTGCGTTACCGATACTCGTGTGAGTTAGAGGAAATAACACCTAATTCATAAAATTAAATTTAAATGTTTTTGCAAAAATGCGCTTGGATACTGATTCTGATAACACACTTAACGGGAACCACAGGGTTTTTGTGACATGTTGTATATATATATATATATATATATATATATATATATATATATATATATATATATATATATATATATATATATATATCTTATAATATAATTGCGATATAAAATTACTAACTCATTTATTAAACACAAAAGTTTATTTTACATGCATTATTTGCAAAACACTTGAAGCGGCGAGAAATAATGTAGTCTTCAGCTTGCTAAATATAGGCCTCCCAAGGAATGGCATAATCCACGGTACCTCCATCCCATGATATATAAAAATTAAGAGGAAGTAACATAAGAAGTAGCATTATTTGTATCAGAATCGCGACCATCTATTGATATCCTCATATATTATTCCATCTAGTGGCCGATCTACACTTCGCTTACGGGTACGAGGAGCTAGCTGTACGTACTCTAGAACAATACCTTTTAAATATTATGTGTTATACTGATTCGGTCCTGGTTTCTTTTACAAATTTGAAGTAACAAAAGACCTTACAGTTCGTACCTAATGGTACAACTCTCGGCACGAAAGTCTAGCGGTGACCGTTACTGCGCATTATTGCGTATGATTGGCTGTGCGTATCGTTCGCACACGCTGATTGGCTCTCCATTTGCATTCTGACCCGAGTGATACGACATTCACAACTATCCCCTCCATGTTTCGTTCAGCGCTAGAGCTACATGTTGCGATAAATAAGATGCTATTGCAGTCCACGGACACCTGTTTAAACAATAATTAACTTTAAACAAAAAAAGCTACTACAGACGCTCGCTCTACTTTTTAGACCGGAGCACAATAGGTAGTGCAGGCGCTCCTATTGTATAGTAGAAATAGTTAAGAGTGTAGTACCTACCCAGACTGACTTATGCGGAAAAGTACTACCACCTAGTACTTAGTACTAGTAATGTGAATTGCAGTTGGGGTTAACATTTTTATAGAATAAGGGTAACAAACGAGCACATAGTCCACCTGATGGTAGGTGGATACTGTGGCCCATAGACATCTACATTTACCCTCGATATGGAATCAAAACGCAGATGCGTTGTCACTCTTGAGGACTAAGATGGAATGCCTCGTTTCCAGTAAAAAAGGGTCTCCGGATGTCTATAATCACCATACGGAACATAGAAGTATTATTCCGTAAGAGCGCGGTCCTTCCATTCCATATACCACGTATATAACATTTTTGAAAAACCACCATTCCTAGTTATAGAGTGTGTGTTGTGATTTTATCTATACATATTCATTTGATATTGGATACTTTCATAATATTTTAAGCTTTATAGTTGAGAGCATTGCTATAAAATTTATCAAGGAGGTTGGCAATAAAACAATTTATTATAATTTATATGGTACAACTTTTTAACTGAAATGTACGTATCCTGTATTAAAAAGACCTTGGAGACAATTTAACATCAATGTACATTTAGTAAATAAGACAAAGTATCTTAAAAGAATAAACAAATAAAAGTACATACATTTTGAGAATTGAAATTCTATTAAATAATATTTTCTACAGTGACCGCATGGTTGAAGTATAATGAATTGTTTGCGGAGACAGTCGGTTTGTTCAAGATAACGCAGTTGATTAACCGGTTCAAATATTAGACTTGCTACATAATGTATGTTGTAATAGATAGTTATATATTATGATAAACCTTTTCCGCTCTATTTACTGTGGAACGTTCTACGTAAATTTCATGAATGGAATTTTTGGGATTTAAAATAATGTAATGTCTCCTTAGAAGGAGACATAGATTTTTGAAATTTAGATTTGTAATATTATATAAGTTTGTTAAAAAACCTACCCTAACAGTGCGATTTTTACAGTATCGTTGACGTCTTTTATGTACATAATTAACACTGTGATAAACAGCCAGACCCAGAACCATAACAATTACCTTTCTTTATTTTCTGTGATGTTAGTGCAGTTAGCTAGTTAGCTTTTAGTCGTACAGTTCATGCAAATTTTTTTTAATATGCAAAAACTGAATCTGAGACCTGCCGCATCGCAACCAAAAACTTGTACCATTGCGCTACTGTACCTTTGCTGTCGCAGTCTATTTTCATAGCTGGGTACGATGTACGGGTATTCTTACACCGCCATGCTGTAGATTTCGAGAAATTTTTACGATGGTATAATCTTAATATTGTTCTTAAGTGTTTATGATTGTGATTGCACGACAATGTTTTAATTCTGGACATTTTTGATAATCGTGTTACTTGATACTTTAAATATAACGCAACTGAATCAACTGCTAAACTTGTAATTGAGTGATGACTGAGAAGACGGGAGGTGTTAGGCATGGATGAATTGTAGTATCCTGAGTGACCGCCACTTTAAATGAATGCCACTTTCAATGTTTACTTCACTTATTTCCATAGCATAATGTCATATGAGATTTTGCTATGGGGGAATGCGGCTGATTTAGAAACTATTTTTGTTTTGCAGAAGAGAGTCAAAAGAGCCATTTACAACCTTAAACCGAGAGAGTCTCTTAGAGGTCTTAATCTATTAGTCTCTTAATTAAAGAAATAAATATATTAACTTTGGCCTCTCAGTATATCTATGAAAATTTGATGTATGTTGCACAAAAATAAAGGTAGTTTTAGTAAAAAAAAGTTATACAAACTCTGTAAACACTAGAAACAAACATAAGCTGGTGCTACCAGTTTCTCAACTCCACAGAGTCAGTAATTCATTCTTGGGGCAATGTATACCCTATTACAACAAAGTCCTAGAAAATATACAAGGTCTCTCTATTACCAAGTTTAAATATTTTATTAAACAAAAACTGTATAAAAAGGGTTATTATGATATAAATGAATAAATGGTTGATAATAACCCCTGGGAATGAGGTGGTTGCTTTCAAGCTATTTCTAAAATAAATTTTGTAAATATTTTGTGACCATTGACATTGTAAAATTTATTTAAAAAAAGTCCCGCTATGTTTCTTGCGGGTTCTTCCCAGGACAGAGGTCTTTTTTTCGAACCAGAGGTAAAGTAAAATAATGACTTTCAATAAGAATTACTTGTAATCGATATTGAATAAAAAATATTCTATTCTATTCACATAAATTAGTTTTTTTTTATTAACACCGCGCTTTACTAACACCGCGCGCGGTTATTGATCAAATCAAAAAGCGCGCGCTTCTTTGGCTTCTTGACTTCTTGTCTTATATACTCGTACTTTAATATACTTCCGTCCATTTTCACGAAATGACTACCACAGATTGCGTGAAAGCGAGAGGAAAGATGTTATACATCAATAAATAAATATTGTTTATATAATACTTTCTCATGCCCTTTTCTGTAATGCAAAATAAGTCAAATATTATGTACAATTTAAAAGTTAAAACTTACTTCACAGTTCCGCCAAATATTACATACGGAACGTTCCAAATTCAAGATGACGGATCGACATCAAGTGGTACTGCTGCTTTATCTCGGGAGGATGAAAAACAAATTACTTCTTACAAACCCAATCTCGGTATGTTCCGAAAGTGGTTGAAATCGCGTTTATGGTGGGATTAGCATGCGATCGTATCAAGTGGGTTATTTTAATTTTTTATCTGCACGAATAAGGATATTTTTAATTGGGGCTCATAGGGAATATATTATTTTAAATATTATTTTAATTTAACCATAGATAATATTTATTAATGAATTAAATAAAAGACTAAAAATTTTCTAAAATAATATAATGCCACGGATAACAATAATGGATCCATTTTTCCTCCATCCTTTCATCATTTTTACGCATCCGTGCGTATTTGGAATGTGTGCTTATAAAATACCTTCTTTATTAATTTAGGTTCATAATATTAATATATGTTTAAAAATTCATGCATGCTTATAGTATTTCTTCGTTAGTCGTTAATATTGAGCATGACAAACTTTGATGACTGAATTTTCAGTATATTCTCGTATCTTTTATAGTTGGCATATATCTAACATGAAAACTATTTTAATATTTAAAATTGGATTAGAATGGAAAAGCTGGAACCTAAAATATCTTTAAGGGTTTTTTAATGTGATTGCTTTCAAAATTCGCGGGAAGTATTTTAATATTTTTATTTTACACACTAAGCTTTCTTGTCAGTTATTAAGAGCTGAGAAGTGATATCATACAATTTTTTATATATTGAATATTAATCTCTGCTTAGAGTTTCGATTAAATATCAATTTAAAAAAAATTCAATAATATAACCTAAAATAAGCAAAATCATGTGCATATATTAACGTTAAAAGGGTGACCTCATCTAAATACATTTTAATTAATATATAGATATTAATATACAGATATCAATATATAAGCATGCTTATTGTATATGCTAATGGAAACCTGATGTGCGCAGTCACAAAATTCCAGATAGTACGACGTGTACACAAACAGTATTCTTTAATAATGCATGAGTTAATATATATGATCTTAAGAATTAGTATTCATAACGAATCTCTGTTTATCTAACAATACTTCTTCAATTGCGTGTTTACGTGAATCAACCGTAAATGTGTCCTGTATTTTAAACGCAAAACACTAAGAGAAAGACATAGAGTCAATAAATTTATTATAATTATTTGACATGCTTTTAGCAACCTTAGGCTAATTTTTTGCCTTAGAATCTAAATCACACATTCCAAATCCTATTTAATGTATTTAGTGATGAATGGCAGAGTCACCAACTCACCAAGGTACATCCTAAACGAGTTTACAGACCAATTCGGCTATATATTGAAGATGGACCAAATTAAAAGTATATTTAAACCGACGAGCATGTATACTCGTATTATGGAAATGAAAACGCAAGATACTTACTAACTTAACTTAACTTAATCGATTCTTTATTTTAAGTTAAATTACATTTTTATGACTTAAAATATTACATAAACGTTCCACTTTTAAAAGCGGCAGAGTTTACCGATAACCTCTACATGTTATGAGAGTGTGATCATAAAGCATATTTGATTTGGTTAGATTTTTGTAATAAAATTATTAAATTAGTTTTATTCATAACACTTTGTTTGACAGCTATATCGCTTAAATAATAGAGTACCTGCAACGTACCTCTACAAAATGTTTTAAATGCTGCGTTCTAATTCTAGTATTTGACATAAAATATAAACCATAATATTTTAAGTTAATATATAGTTAACAACATAATGAGGTTTTTAGAGAATTAGTTTTTGTAATCACGTGTCATCATCATTCTCTAAACCATTTCCCATTATCTGGGGTCAGCGCAGTAAATCTTCTTGTTCCATTCCTCTCTATCAGCCGTCATTTCCATACTTACTCCTTTCATTCTCATATCACTCTTCACACAATCGATCCATCTTTTATTCGGCCTTCCTCTGCCCGTGTGTCCCTCCACATTCATATTCAACACTCGTTTTGTGACATGACTTTCATCCCTCCGCATCACATGCCCAAACCATGCCAATCTGCTTCCTCTCACCTTTTCTACCACTGGCGCTACTTTCAGGCTTCCTCTTATATACTCATTCCTTATCTTATCCATCCTTGTCACACCACACATCCATCGTAACATTCTCATTTCATTCGCATGCAGTCTATTTTCATCCTTCTTCTTGACGGCCCAACATTCACTTCCATACATGACGACAGGTCGGATGATCGATTTGTAAATTTTCCCCTTCAGCCTTATTGGCATTCGGGGATCGCACGTTGTGGCTGTGACCTGTCGCCATTTCATCCACCCTGCGTTAATCCTATGCTGCACAGCTCTATCTATTCCGCCGTCGCCTTGAATGAGGGAACCGAGGTACTTGAATTCTGAGCAGGTAGGCAGTATAGCGCCATCCAACGACATGGGTACAGGACTGGAAAGACCGCCGAAATCACAGCACAGATATTCGGTTTTGGATCTGCTGATCTTCAAGCCAACACTTTCCAGCCTCTGTTGCCACTCCGTCAGTCTGCTCTGTACCTCGATGCCTTCTTCCCCGACAAGCACGATGTCATCTGCAAAGAGCATGCACCAGGGTGCCTCATCCTGCAGGTCCGACGTCAAAGCGTCCATAATCAGTAGGAAGAGGTAAGGGCTCAATGCCGACCCTTGGTGCAGCCCTACCGCCACATCGATACTGCCCGTAGTTCCCGCGGCAGATCGTACACATGTACGGGATGCTCTGTACATAGCACGGACTAACCTCACATACTTCCCAGGCATACCTTTCATCTTTAACGCCCACCACAAAACCTCACGGGGAACCCGATCGTACGCCTTTTCAAGGTCGACAAAAACCATGTGCAGATTTTTATGCACGCGCTTGTACTTTTCGCACAATTGGCGTAATGCGAAAATGGCATCTGTCGTACCTCGACCGGGCATGAATCCGAACTGGTTTTGTGTTATCTCACACTCTTCTCTCATTCTTTTCTCTATTATTCTTTCCCAGACTTTCAACGTATGTGACATGAGTTTTATTCTCCGGTAACTGCTGCAGTTTTGAACGTCTCCTTTGTTTTTAAAAATGGGGACCAGTATACTACTGCACCATTCCTCAGGTATTTGTTCTTCCTGCAACAATTGTAATCACGTGTCTCCAATAAAAATCAGGTATGGGAAGGTGAAGACGACAGAGTTCCTCTGTGATGGAATTAATTATAAGCATTTCGTTATTCTATAAATCCCGCGTAGTTGATAAGTTTTGATGTTCTAGTTAAAAATATAACAAAGCGCTTTTTTTGTCACTACGGAACAAGTGTATCTATCTCCTCACATCTGATCTGATCTGACTCTGCGAGTCTATCAAATCATCACGTTCTGTAGTGGAAGGTCGCCCTCCACTGCTCAGTACCACGCTGCTTAGCGTTAAGTTTTAACGTATGGAAACTCAAGCATAGTTCTCTGCATAGTTTATCGATTAATTTAAAGTCGTATTTCTACTCATAAGTATCGTTGAGAAAACACAATATAAGCCAAAAATTTCTTAAAAAACCCCGTTTCTTTATATAAAATCAAAGACAGCGAGCAATAATTTTGGCGTTATATTTCTAGAGTACTCGGGTTCTAGGGAGGATTTCACTTATCGTTACACGTGAGCACAGCAATCACATAATGTTATTGTCGGTTCAAACGAGTTGGTCGTCAGACAAACGAATAACAATAGCGCTTTTAAACGTCTCTGTGAGATAGGGCCCTTAACATATTCGCTTCGATAACCTTGATTCCTAGTTGTTTGAACCGGAACAATTGAAATGAAAATTGGGTTCATTAAAAAATACGTCATTAGCCAATCATAAATGTATGTATTTGTCTATAACTCTACATCAATTTTGTAGTTGTTCCAATCTATTTCTTAATTTCCTGTTACGCATCAACTACCGAATATAGGTCTTCCCCGAAGAGTACCATTGAATACGGACCTGAGCCACCCGCATTCAACGACGTCCTACCAGACAGTCACTCCATCAGCTAGTGGTTGGTCTTTCTGTACTCGCTCATCGCATCGTACTGCACACGGGTTCGCATAGTGTACATTTTCTTCGACACGGGCTTGTATCACCTGCATTCCCATTGTACCACAATCAAACTACTCGACATATGTACTTTTTGATTTTACCCTCAAGTTTTAGACATACTTCGGATCTGCAAAAATATTTCGCTTCATCGTTCTAAATGTGCACAGCGGGCGATTGGAATCTGTGCTTGCGTCTGTCTTCCCTGGCTAATGTTTTTTTGCGCTTTTCGAGGCAATAGCGTAAAGACATTTTTTTACGTTAACCTGATTACTATCAACCACCACTTAATATGGGGTAGTATTTTGGTCTAACGAAGGACTGTTGCGGATAAAGAAGGACATGTTTGCCCATTCTCACTACTACACAAGCAGCGCGCCGGACTCTTTCGTATTCCATAGCTTGCAGAAATAAAAGGAGACCAAGGCCCAACAGCACTTACAGTAGCTTCAGTAGCTAGTTAGCTAGGTTATATACCTAGTTAGACAGGAAACTTTGCGACTGTTTAGTATATAAATACACTAGCTGACACCCGCTCGCTTCGCTGGGCGCACGATAATATTTTATTGCGAAACATACATCTAAAATATCAAGATTTTTTTTTTGATGGGACCATCGTAAAATCCGTTCTTAGTGAGCGTCTACGTCTACTAATAGTCAATCGGGTGTGTAGTTGTAGAGATTTAATGAAGTCAGTCAGCCAGTGATATTTCGTTTATATGTATACAGGGTTATTTTGCAATAACCGGCCAAATTTGTAGGGAAGGTTAAATTAAAAAAAATCTCAAATGTTCTGCCCCTTTTATCTTTTAAATTCAAAACGCATGGTAATTTATTATTTTAACTGATTTTACTGCGCACGCACACAAAAATGTTGTTGTCCATAAAATCACATTTCATTTGGGATAATTTCGAATAATAGTTGATGCCTTATTTACTCCTATTTTCGAAAATTAAAATTTGGCTACTCTTTGAAAAATAACCCTGTATATGATAAAAAACATCAAATCCCCGTAGTTGATAATTTTGATGTTCTAGTTAAAAATATAACAAATCCTTATATAGATAATTTTTTTCGTCTTGAAATTTAAAGTAAAATATTTTTTTTAAATACAGACCCAAGATAAACTCTTACAGCCGTAAATAAAAATCGAAGACAATTTAACAAATGCTTAAAGTTGTCTTTCTGCCGTTACTAAACGACGATATAAAGAGAAAGGTGTATAGATAATAAAAAATCAATTTAAATAAGCAATAATCAACGATTATAAGTGAGGAAGTTTAACACATTCCTTTGAAAGAATTGCAATACGAATAACCATTTGTTTAAATTTCTGTGTTCAAGTTTTTGCGTTGCAAGAATTAATAATTGGAAGATTATTTCTGAGATTTGTACGTAATCGGCTGTTGTTGTCGACAATCATTAAAGCTCACTTTAATGACTTTAATGCATACATCGTTTTAGATGACGCACTTGGGGTATTCCCGAAGATTACAATGATTATCGGGTTTCGCGTTTTTGTTACGAATCTTCACGCTCTTGCATCTCTTTAATTATTGCAATTTTAAATATAAAAACTTGGGTTCAGAAATTCAATTTTAGGCTTTTATTTTTAAGTCGTAGTAGTAAATCATCAACAGAATCTATTTTATTATAAGTTTATAAACGAATTGCGCCGTTTTTGTTATCAAAGTTGAAAGTTCAATTTTTCATACGCTACGTTGAAAACATCGCTGAAAAGTATTTATGACGAAGATTTACGGAACGTTACGTTCAATATATATAATATACTTAGAGCAATACATACTTTGAGTTTTAATACGTTGTTGAAAGAAGTGATTTTTTATATTCCTATATTGTCATCCGATTCTGAGCTAGATATGTTCAAAATTTCACGCTTCTAACTAATCGGGAAGTGCTCAAAATTTCAGTAGAAAGATTTCACGAACGACAGGCAGATAGACAAAGAATAAAGTGACTTAATAATAAAATATCACAAGTAACACCCTAGTAATATTCTATATCTTTATTTTATCAAAAGATGAAGTTGACATCGAACTTTATTAATCAATACGTACAAAGTAGATCGTTTTTATTCACAGTTTGGGAGAAGCCCCTTATTTAAAAAAAATTTCGATTCCTTAAAAATAACTTTAATTTTTTCTTCTCTATATCTCTTCGTCGAGTTATATTACATTCGCTTCAGACGATAGCCCGGACAGACACAGACAAAATTATAAAAATAGTTCTTCATGTCTTTATAGCATGCAATTATCTCCTTAGCCCAGTAAAAGACAGTTATTTCGATGTTATAGACAGACACTTTGATGTTATTTACACGCCTAGAATACTATATAGTACATACATAATAGAACTGAGGAGTGTGCGGAGCTCGTGTAGCCACTACCGTGTCACTAACATGTCAATTCACACCTATAAATGTCAACACAATCAATAGTTTTCAATTTTCGTGTCAAGCGTCGCTGCATGCAAATTAGTTATCAAAATAGCAAATTGTGCAATAATTACTTGTCGAAAGAACAGCGGGAAATGGAATTTAATTAAAGAAGACATCATCTACAACCAGTAAGTCGAAACTATTTATATTTTGTGAATATTTATATATTATAAAGAAATATTAATATTTTTATTATAATGGATTTCCGCAAAGTAACACCTGATTCTATCAAATATTTATGTGTCAAAAACATTAATCAAAAGTCAGAGAATTGACATTTAAGTGACATGTTAGTGGCTACACGGGCTCCGCCCACTCCCTCGTTCTATTATGTATGTATTATAGTATTCTATGGTAATAACCTTTATGAATTTAAATTTAAACTTCATAAATTCATAACGAACGATCTTGCTCTTCTTCAATAATATTTTTATTCATTTTGAAAATATTTTTTCTTAATATTGATTTAGGAGAAGAATTGCAAGTTTTTTTTTAATTATAAATAACTTTTTCGTGAGGGGTAAAACATTTTATTTTTTATAAGTGTTAAAAGATTTTGAAGAATTTGCTCTCTTAAAAAATTTCGATACGACTATGTTTATACATTTAATATTAGATTATTCCGCAAACGGCGACAAGTTCCACTACATCCGTTTATTTCACGCCACTTTGAAGTTGTATAACAAATTATAAGCCATAAAACCAATATAGATATTTGTTATGTTATTTTGCATTAGGATTACCGCTATGTCACGTGTCGGTGAACTACACTCATTTACTGCAATGGCAATGCGAAATGTTAATTAAAACATTTTTAAATTGTGAACATTTATGATAGAAAAGTACCTAATGTGAAATCTTCTTATTTTTCTCTCTGTGAATCTCTTTAAATAAAAATTAATTGTTGTGCGAGTGCGACTAACTCGCTAAAACTCGAAAATGTCTCGAACGATTTTGATGTAATTTTTTGTTTGCGTTTGAGTTGGTTGGACCCTGGATGGTATAGATTCACAATTGGACAGATCCGGAAATCAGTCGTGTGAAGCCGAAGAAAGAAAGTTTGATGAAAGAAGTGTTTATATTTGTTTATTTCATAGCCTGCTTCTCGATGGAGTGAAATCGTTATTGTTTTTTATATATATTTTTTATAGAATATCGATTTTATAAAAACTTAGTATTCGTTATACAATTGAATGAAATTAGTATTTTTTTATAGGATAGGGTGACAAACGAGCACAAATTCCACCTGATGGTAAGTGGACGCTGTGGCCCATAGACATCTACATCAATCCTCGATTACGAATCAAAATGCAGACGCGTTGTCACCCGTGGGGACTAAGATGGAATTCCTCGTTTACCGTAAAAAAGGGTCTGCGGTTCTCTACACTCACTATACGAAACACAACAGCGTTAAGCTACTATTTTACGCTGGTATTCTGTGAGAGCGTGGTCCTTCCCCGGTCGAGCCGATCCATTCGTGCTACAACTATACTACTAATATAACTGCAGCAAAGCTCTACCATGTATTACTCGATTAAGAATCAAAACGCAGATGCGTTGTCAACGATGGCAAAGATGAAATGCCCCGTTTCCAGTAAAAAAATGGTCTCCGGTTCTCTACACTCACCATACGAAACACAGCAGTATTAACCTGCTATTTTACGCTGATATTCTGTGAGAGCGTGGTCCTTGCCCGGTCGAGCCGACCCAATTGTGCTACAACCATAGTATAACTGCCTCTACCTCGTATAAAATATATAAAATGCTGTAACATTATTTACTATCTAATTAAGTGTTTATTATGTCGACTTTCCTCTAAAAAACTGTCGTAACATAAGAAAAAGTAGAAACACAGATTTAAATACAGTTTTATTAAGTTTTTCATTCTCTATCGATCAATGAAACCGCCACAATTGTAGTAAAAAAAAAACTAACTAGGTGGCGTAAGTGATGGTTTTTTACGGAGCGATATTGTGCGCTCCCGCCTCAACAATAGTGACGTATCGGAGCTTGTGTCGTGTGAACGTGTGTCAGTGCTCTTGAAAATCGCCATAAGCTATCTTGTGACCATATTTTGGGTAAGTTTTTTCACAATACTTGTAAATTTATGAGTGAAAACAGCAGTATCACAATATAGTACTGTTTTTTTCGATCGTAATTTGAAAACATGTCATTTTTCACTCTAAAAAAGTGTCATAACATAGGTTATGATACTATTTCACTCAACATTGTATTATATTTTTACGTTTTAACTGGGTAAAAAACAGTTGTATTTTGTTTTGTGGCATCTTTTTTTAAAATTGTTTTGCAAAATTTAGTTACCGAATGTTTATAAAAGTAGCCTTGAATAGGTTATGACCGTTTTTTTACATTTTTTTATTCTACTTTGAACTAACGGGTACTACAATTTTGTCACATCAATATGTTATGGCCGTTTTGAACTGATTTTAGTATTACTCTTTACTGTAGTGCTACATAACTTTATTGTATAATTTACCTACATTAACATCAATACTTACGGAAATGTCTATGTTCTGTTCATATTAAACTTGTATTTAAGGATAGCAGGGGCAAAAAGTTACTACAACTTTTAAATTCTGAAAGTGATGAAAATAAAAAAAATTGTGGCCGCAATCTGAACAAAGGTAAATTTAACTAGCTGCACGACTTAATTAATAATTAATATGTTATGTAGGTGGTAACAATTGTTCTAATAAGTATGTTTATGGTGAGTTTATTTTTTTATTTTTTTTACAGATGATTCCGAGGAGATAGTACAAAATAATATTCCTAAGGATGATAATACCAAAGAATGTTTCAGTAAGTTATTTATATAAACTTTTAATGTTAACTTTAATTTGAAAGTTATTATTATTGCTTAGTTTATGAATTTGTTTTATTTCAGAAAATTCAGATAATGTTACAACTTTTGAAGCTTGGAAAGAAGCTGAACCTATTGCCCATTGCAGTTACAATCCGCCTGAAAATAAATCTTCATATACCGAGCCACCACCCGCTGCTTATGAATCGTATTCGGAAGATGACAATGATTCAGTAAAAGATCCTCACTACAAGTCTAGTTCCTCCAGTAGGTCATCTAGTTCTTCTAGCAGTTCTTCGAGCACTTCTACGTCAACTGCGATAACGAATAATGTACAAGTATTACCAACTAACGGTCAAGTGGAACCAGTTTCGATCCAGACTTCTGCTGAAACAAATAACGAAGAAATACAAGAAGCAGTACAAAATGAGAATGAATCAATAAACCAAGATAAAATAGTCGAACAGAATATTTCCATGAACGAAATAGAAGAAAATAGTAATGTTAAGAAAAGTAGAAAGCGCGTTGAAAGAGTTGAAGAGTGGCTTAGTAATAAAGCGAAAAAAATTACGAAATACTGGCAAATGTTACATTTCCAGATCTAAAACCAAGAAAATTATACCTGCACGTTCTTTAAAACCACCTTGTGGCGATAAATGCAAAATGGAATGTTCTACTAAAATTGACGAGGATTGCAGGAAGAAGAGTTTTGCTAAATATTGGGGATTAGGAGATATTACGCTTCAAAGAAACTTTATTAACTCCTCTACCAAAGCTATAGTGCCCGCGTTCCGTTTTTTCGGGAAAAGAAAAACCTCGAGGTTATAATAATGCTTACTATTTTGATGTTGACAATGAAAAGATACGGGTTTGTAAGAAGTTTTTTATGAATACGTTAGATGTAAATGATCGCGTTATAAGAACAGTTTTTCAGAAAAGAGATCTAGGTTTTATTGACATAGAAAAGAGAGGTAAACATGGCAATCATAAAAAAAGTCGATGAATTGATTAAGCAAGCAGTCAGAGATCACATAAATTCGATTCCACGGATTGAAAGCCATTAATTCCCCTGATCACACCGAATGCTACCTCTGGCACGAAGGGGAGGCCAATCGAGGGGCAGATGAGATTGGGTCTTGTGTCCTGAACTTTATTGACAAAGTAATGGAAAATTATATTTTGAATTTGTATTTTACTCCGACAATTGCTGCGGCCAGCAGAAAAACAAATTTCTTTTTTCCATGTATATATACGCGTTGATGAAACATTCTAAAATTAAATATATAACACATAAATACCGTATTACTGGCCATACACAAAATGAAGGAGATAGCGTACATTCCGTGATAGAAAAAGCTATCAAAAAGAACCTCCGCTCCGGTCCCATCTATGTTCCGAGCCAATATGCTCAAATTATAAGGAACGCCAAAAAGAAGGGCAACCCGTATAGAGTAAACGAGATGAGCTTCAGAGAATTTTATTCTATGAAAAGCCTATCGGAAACCATTGGTTTCAACTCTAAAAATTTTAAAACCTCTGAAATAAAGGTTTTAAAAGTGATTCAGGGCGAATTTAAGAAAATGTACTATAAATATTCTTTTAAAGAAATTGATTTTAAAGAAGCAGAAATCACAAGAAAGCAATTGCCCGTTCAAATAATATCACTAAAAAAAAGCTTATAGGACGAAACCGAAAATTAAAAAAATAAAAAGAGAGACCTCTTAAGTCTGGTACAGAGTAATCACATACCTAATTTCTACAGCGAATTTTACACAAATTTATAATCTTTAAGTTTTAAGTATTAACAATTTTAAGTGTGTTTTTTAACTTTGCCTTTAGACTGATTATGGTAATTGTGAAAGTTCCTAAAGTTGCTCCAAAGATTAGATTTAATATTAAGAAGAACCATAAATAAAAATATGTTTTGTGTTACGATATTTTTTTATTTTGCTACCATAATAATGTAAAAAAAGTGTCATAAGTTGGGTAATTTTTAATTTATTTACTTTTTAAACAAATTTCATTTAATTTTTTAATATACTCTTATATTTTGCAAATAGCTTGATAAATTCTTTGTTAGTTAAAACAGTAGACAGGTAAAAATTTGTAACCTAAAAGTCACAATAACATTAATTTATCGAAAAATAATTTAAATCGTTTTTTTCTCAAAACTAGCTTTCAGCGTCTTATGACAGTTTTTCAGAGGGAAGTCGATGTTATCTTTATCAATTTATATTGATATCAACAACCAATGAATACTTACTACAATGAAAACTGTGTGCCACATTATATATTAATAGTATTAAATTGTTCGTGTCACGTTAACGTAGATGCCATCAAACGAAAACGTAGAAATATAAATGAACCAATTTTAAAAGTAAAATTTTACTTACAATAAAAATTATATAATCTATATTGAATAAAAAATATTCTAAGCTATTTCATTATATGGCATGCTGCAGAGTAATCCAGTAAATGTTATTAAAAAGGAAATGTTGCAATATCAGATTAAAATTAGTGAGAAACTCCATTAAGAGATGGCGCCACATGTCATTTATATCACAATAGCATTTTTTAATATAATAATTTTCATGCACATGTTTATTGAAATTACAATTGCAAACTTAAAACTTTAAATAAGCTATCAAGTATTAATTTTTGAAACTTGTGGGTTTTATGCCGCGAGCCATGAACCCGTGAGATATATAAATGTAAAAGCGGCCAAGTTCGTAACAAACAACGTTCGGCGGATTCGCTTTATAAGAGTTGAGATCTGACCGAGTGCCAAGTTCTATTAGCTACAGGAAAATACAACGTTCGTTAGTTGATTTAAAATTTATTACAAAATTAGTTACGTTCTTTGATATTGAATTTATTAGTTTTAGTTTTAATTATCAATAAATTACGTTAACCGTGACGATATTTAATACAAGTTTAACTATTTTAGTTGTTCTATTTTATACTACAAAATATTTAGTTGTGAACATAACTTCATAAGTCTTCAAATAAAATGAACTAAATGGCATGTCTTATAGTTTTGAGTAATTAGGGAGATCGAAAGTATCTGAATTGGTAAATATTACCCCCTATTAGGCAATTTATGGGGGACTCTATGTTCAGCAATGAAATTTTGCTAGGCTGAAACGGTAAATTTGTGATATATTAGATTCTCAAACCAAAATTATAATAAATTCATGTGAGGTCTCTATATAGATTTAATTTAAAGAGTCCAACGTAATTTGCCGCAATGAAATACGGAGATTCTGAGTCTGACGGCGTCTTGTATTTTTTTTTCTAATTCCTTTCAAGTTTTGTCAAAAAGTCCTTCTTCTTTATATTATTAATTAATTAATTTGATAAATAAAATGCCTAAAAATTTCCGAATGAATCAGTGAAAGTGATTCGGTCTGCTCTTACAACCTACTTCCCATTAGATGACGTTTTCTTTTTAAATAAATACTTAGTAACTTCGTATCCTTTGAGTATTCAACCAACGTATTTATTTTTATCTTAAAAATATTATTCGTATCTTAAAAACACTCGATATGTTAGAAAAATAACCGATTTTATAAAAACTTAATAATCGTTGTGCAACTAAGCATTGAATGAAGTTAGTATTTTTATAGGATAGTGTGACAAACGAGCACACAGTTCACCTGATGGTAAGTGGATGCTGTGGCCCATAGACATCTACATCTATCGTCGATGATGAATCAAAATGCAGATGCGTTGTTACTAGTGATGCAACGAATACGAATACGAATATTCGTATTCGCCGAATAATAGGCATTTACCGAATATTCATATTCGGCGAATACTAATCACGTATATTTAAAAAGTTATATTTTTGTACGCAACTCTAATTACTGGCAGACTTTAAAAACGCGTGTCGTCAACGCGTAAAAAATACGACGTGTGCATTAGCCCTAAGCCGTAACGACGGCTACACAGGGGCAGGGGAGTTGTTACTCATTTTAACACTCAAACAACTGAAAGATTCTGAATAAGCTAACAATATACCGAAACATGTTTTGTTTCAAGATGTTGAAACTAGATGGGACTCAACATATCAGATGTGGAAGAGATTACATGAACAACGCATAGCGATTCAAGATGTTTTACCATCTCCACCAAATTGTCATCGTGAAATCACAGCAAGGCTCAAGGCTCTTATAAGCCAAATCATTGATATTATGGCCAATTTTGAAGAAGCTACTAAAGAGCTAAGCAAAGAATCAACGTTATTATAACAAGCAATTCCAATAATAGGAAGTCGAAGAAGAAGTTCGTATTCGCCGAATAGTAGGTTTGATATTCGAATTCGTATTCGTAAAAGTAGTATTCGTTGCATCACTAGTTGTCACCCGTGCCCACTAAGATGGTACGCCTAGTTTTCAGTAAAAAGGGTCTCCGGTTCTCTACACTCACCACACGCAACACAGCAGCATTAAGCTATTATTTTATGCTGGTATTCTGTGAGAGCGTGGTCCTGCCTCGGTCGAGCCAACACATTCGTGCTACAACTATACTACTAATATAATTGCAGCATGGCTCTACCACTTATAAAAGTGTGTAGGCTATATCATCATTTCTTCTTGAGATGTGGAAGGTAATAAAGTTTACCAACGTTATTATGTACCAGCCACTACTACATGTATATTCGTATGTTAAGCTGATTATAGCAAAGACCATTTTTTTATGATTTTTTATATTTAAATAAAAACTTCAGATTTATCAGATGAAATATAACCTAACTCACTCTTGGAATCGCTCTTTTCTGTTCGAGATATTTCATCGCAATCTGTTTAAGTAGTCATTCCAAAGACAAGTTTGGACAGATAGAGATTATTCATGACATCATAATGGTTGGTAAATAATCCCCGTCTTCAATAATAGCAAATTGTTTCGTTATTATAGACATAGATGGGTGATTATCAAATGAAATTACACAAAGATAAACTCCGTAGAGGATAAAGAAAAAAATTGTATGTATCAACTATGGTTACAGATGTAGAGACTGGCAATGCTAACGCCGCAACCGAGGGCGAAGCGCCCGCCGCCAAGGCCTCCAAGCTGCCTCTTCTTGGTAAGACATGCATGGCACGGTGGTTCTGTGTTCGCACCAATGTGACGTTTTGTTTTGAGGGAAAAACGCATGCAGGGGGGGGGTTTGCAATATAGTCTAGTAACTATTACTTTCCATTATATCGTGTACTTAAAACGTGTTGTATTTGATTTTTTTTTTAATAATAACAAACTAAACCTCTGTATCTACCTTACATCTACATTTCATAAAATAAAAAATGATTTTTGGGTGCACTTAAATCAATAAGCTTTTGTGATTTCATTATTCACATCTTAATAAATATATTCATTTTTTCATCCGATTTCAAAAATGTCTATTACCTAAGAACATTTTATTAGGAGAACCGATTTTGATTTTTGTTCGAAAGCTGGTGCTTCTCGTGTGGTCCCGTATAGATGTGATAAAGATCTGACCAGTAGTTTTTGACTTATCCCTAATATTGCTTATTTGATTGACTTCGACTATATTGAAGATGTTCTCATTGTGTTCATGTTGAAGTCGATTGCACAAAATTTTAATTTTACTACTTGTATCAGCTTTGTTTCGTTATGTGAACGTATAAGGGTACCTTAATAGCAAACATTTTTCCAACCTGTCCAATATCCATAGTTGGCGTTCGACATTATTTATATAATAATAAATTAAAATATAAAACAAAAAAATACATATTTTTCAATTTATATGACCTTTAATGAATTCGTCAAATAAAATCCAAAACTATAATGTTGTAAAATTCCTATTCATATTTTTTTAACTAAATGTTTTAGAACTTCTTGTTACAAGTTACTGTATTATTAATTTAGATATTTTGATATTTTTTACCAACAACGGATTTGTAACCTAGGCTTATACAACAAATAGATATATTACAAAATAATAATAGGTAAGGCATTTCTGGCGTCGATTTAATTGAAACCGTCCACTTTGCTTTAAATCATATATTGCACGATTGCACAGACACTTACATAACGTTTGTAAATTATACTATGTACTTCATTGATCTAGTTTAGGACCTAGACTCGATTCCCGGGTAGGACCGAAATCAGTTATTGGGTATTCAGGCAAAGAAATTTTCAGTATCAGTTTAGGGTCAATAAGTGTTCCACCTTCGTGCCTCGTAAGGCATAAAGACGGTTCTGCGCCTGGTCTCTACCGGTTAATGTAGGTTGCCATTCTATCGGACTATAAGGGGTGTGTCAGTGCTTGCGCGTACACTTGTGCACTATGATCCTGTTCTGTGAATGAAAGATGGCTAGTCTAAGATAAGACTGACCGCCATGACCGAAATTCGGTTTGGATGACATAATGTGCCTTATTTTTTGTTTATGTAATATACCCTCCTATACAGTTTTTACTTACACGTTTCCTTTACATTGATGTATTCCTTAATTTACTTCATAAATTAAGCTAAAACTCTTTTTTCATCATCATGTCATGATTCGAATATTACGTAGGTATGAGCGTTATATAAATAAGAAATCTTTAAGTTATTTGTGTTCCTTTTTACCGAATATTTTTCCAAGTACGTCAATATATTATATTATATATATTATACGTGGTGGAGCCCCGCTGCAGCTATATTATGGTTGTAGCACGAATGGGTCGGCTCAACCGGGGAAGAACCACACTCTTACAAAATACCAGTGTAAAATAGCAGCTCAATGCTGCTGTGTTTCGTATGGTGAGTGTAGAGAACCGGAGACCCTTTTTACTAGAATCGAGGCAATTCATCTTAGTCTTCAGAGGTGACAACACGTGTCTGCATTTTGATTCTTAATCCAAAATAGGTGTAGATATTTATGAGCCACAGCATCCACTTACCACCAGATGGACTGTGTGCTCGTTTGCCATCCTTATTCTATAAAAATAGTTCTATATTCTGATATTATTAAACCATCGTTCTTAAGCCTTAAAACATTCTTATTAACCTCTTAATTTTCAAGCGGCCAAATTTGACAGCGGCGATGTTTAATTTGAGAGGGAGGGTAATGTTTTTTGAAAATATATATGTATGTACGTAGGTCTATTTCTTTGACACGTTCTGTAGCAGAATAAATAATAACTGTAGCCTAAGTAGCTCGGTGGTTATTAACATATAAGGTATCGTTAGACATCGTTATATAATATCTTAATATGTATAAATTACGTGTCACGTTGTTTGTCCGCGATGGACTCCTAAACTACTCAACCGATTTTACACAAATTTGCACACCGTGTGCAGTTTGGTCCAACTTGAGAGATGGGTTACATTTTTTTGCCCATGAGTGATCCACAAGGTTTTTTTTTTGCTAATTTAAGGATTTTTAATAGGACATGACAAAGGGTCGTCGAAAAGGGCAGAACAACGTCTGCTTGGCAAGCTAGTTTAATATATTTAGTAAGATTTTTTATGCAGCCGGGTTTTAACCACTAAGCTTATTATTTCATATATTCGATTTAACAATATCTAAACGTTATTGAACCGTGTAGTGGCGGCGCTACTCACTTTATACCCAATAATGGCGCTTGAGTGTCGCAAGAAGCGCTAGAGAGAAATTGAAATAGGAACAACTCAAAATTATAAATGAGACTACGGTTGCCAACCGCAGTTAGTTGGACTAACCATAGCTGCTACGCTTGGCAGGCTAGCGTGGTGACAATGGCAAAATTCCCCATATGAGGCAGTCTACGGGAGAAACCAATGTTCAGCAGTGGACTTTATAGTAGATAGGTAGTACCACTTCTGGCTCACTGAGTCAGAAGTGGTACAACGTTCGTCGACTCACGATCTGAAAAATAAAGGTTTTGGCATGCTCTGATCACGAATCTGTTCCTCCGTTTTTGCGTAGGATGCACGGTTCCGGACATGTGCAATTTAATATTTAGAAATCACTATAATTGATCATTCCTATGTTAGTCATTGAGTAGATTTGTACTGTAATAATCTACTAATAGCAGTAATATCATGGATACACTAGATGTACAACAACATCTGAAAAAGATTCACCCCAGTCTAGAAAATAATGTTTATGCTGCTAACAGACTGCCCATGTACACCCTAGTACCAACGTATATAATATGCAATTTGGATACAGATGATAAACCAGGGTCACATTGGGTAGCTTTATATATCGATACGAATGACGTCGGTCAATATTTTGATTCATATGAACGGTCACCTGTACGATATCATCTAGAGTTTTTAAAAAGGAATTATAAAAGATGGAACTGGAATGTTGATAGGATTCAGAATGAGTGGACTTCAGTTTGTGGCGAATATTGCTTAATGTATTTGCTATATAAGTTTCAGGGATGTTCAATGTACAGTTATACGAGTAAATGTGAACACATTGTACAATGATATTTTAGTGGATGAGATGTTTCGCTCCTATTTTATAGACAATAAGTAATAAGATTTTGTATTTTGTAAATAAAAATTGTAACAAAATTAGGTAATGTGTTTTATTGATAATTCAGATTAGCGTTGTAGTTAGGAACAAAGAAGTATAATACAATAGCACTGATAAGCCGACGCATAAGCCGATAAAAAATAGACAATGACGGTATTCAATGAACAATAGATAAATAGATAAGAACAATGGGGCGCTAATGACGGTGGAGGCCCTCATCGGATATCAATTAGATAAGAGTTAATTGATCTGCACATCTCCGGAACCGTGCATCCTACGCAAAAACGGACCGCAGATTCGTGATCAGAGCATGCCAAAACCTTTTTTTTTCGGATCGTGAGTCGACAAACGTTGTACCACTTCTGACTCAGTGAGCCAGAAGTGGTACTACCTATCTACTCTGTATAGGATGTAATGGATGTAAGTCCTTCACAAGTCCATTGCTGCACATCGGCCTGCTCACAGGAAGCTCAAAACACAAATCTGAGCCACCCGTGTGTATCAACTTCCTTCATTTCTTACCTGATCACCACTTCATTAAATAAAGACCTATCCTACATTTGACTTACCGGTACAAGATTGCCAGATACTCTAGAAGTTTTCCTCTCGATTGGTTGTCGGTTCTCCGACATATTTGGCGGGCTTAATGTCACTTTAAAATATTGTTTTATTTATTTTGTGATTTATTTGAACACACCTTCAAATAGGGATAACAAAGGGTGGACTTAATTCTCTATGGTATTATCTACCAGTTCACCCTAAGAAAGATGGAATTAATGTAGATTTTGGTAAGTGAAAATTAAGGACAGTAAAAAAAAAATAAAAAAACAGCTAATATATATATATATATATATATATATATTGTATATATATAAATATATCAATACCCTGTTCCACTACATAATATTGATAATTTAAATTAAATGAAAATCCACATTAACGTAATACGTTATGTACTAATGAGCATGACTTAACCTATAAAACTCAATAAGCAAGCTAAACTCGTCTCTTTTAGTATAATGTAAGGCGATAAGAAAACAGTAAAAACATTGCGTCACTAAAGACTATAATACAATGTACCTACCACTAATCGTATTAACAGCAGAAAGAATGTCTCGACTATTATGGATAGCAGGTATTTTGACCTAATAATGTTAAAAGTAATTAGAAATTACAGCTTATGTTATAGAATCTTGAGGTGGATCATATACCACATTCCTTTTATTCATGTTAAGCATGGTAGTCTGTCCTGTTATGTAGTGGCAGTGTAAAATTTCCACTACCCTATATCGTCCCGTGCTCGTCGTACTCGTAAGAGGCGATGGAGGTAAACTTTTTTTTATAGGATAGAGTGACAAACGAGCACACAGCCCACCTGATAGTAAGTGGTTGCTGTGTTCCACAGACATCTACATCTATCCTCGATTACGAATCAAATAGCAGATGCGTTGTCACTCCTGTGGATTAAAATGGAATGCCCCATTTCCAGTAAAACGGATCTCCGGTTCTCTACACTCACCATACGAAACACAGCAGCATTAGCATCTTCCATATAACTTCACAAAATAATAAAAACCCGCGAACAACTATGGCGTGGCAACTATGGCAAAA